GTGGAAGTTGTTGTGGAAGTTGATGTTGTAGTAGTAGCAGTTGTTACCATTCCAATTACAATTGTTATTGTTGTTGAGGTGGATGTTGTGGAAGTTGTTGTAGAAGTTGAGGTGGATATTGTAGAAGTGGTGGTAGAAGTTGAGGTGGATGTTGAGGAAGTTGTTGTAGAAGTTGAGGTGAATGTTGTAGAAGTGGTTGTAGAAGTTGAGGTGGATGTTGTGGAAGTTGTTGTAGAAGTTGAGGTGAATGTTGTAGAAGTGGTTGTAGTAGTTGAGGTGGATGTTGTGGAAGTTGTTGTAGAAGTTGACGTTCGAGCTTCAGTTGTTAGAGGTGCTTCGGTTGAAGCACATTGGCAACTACATGAGGCAGGACATATGAAATCAGTTCTCACTTGACGTCTGTAGCGGCCTTGAAGATTACCGAACGTTTTTTCTAAAAGCAAAGTCTCTATTATGTTCACTAAAAGTGCATTGTTGCAAAACTAAAAGAACAAACATGACAACATACCTTCATCACTTGGATATCCTTCAGCAATACACCAGCTAGAAAAAATCAGAATCCAGAGTAGATAATGATGGTTACCCTATTATAAGTAGAAATCATTAGAAAAAGTTGGTAATTGAAAGATCGTACTGAATCAAATTGGAATAGATTTTTTAGAGATACTAATATATAATACTGTTAGTTTAAGTCATATTAGGAGCTGCTGACATGAAAGCAAAAATAAAATAGAAACCAGAATATCATCAACAAAAGTACAAGTTTATTAATCGTTACTATTATTATTTACGTTGGCAGACTTAGTAGAAAAAGACAAATATCATAGTATCAAATTATTCGAAAAAAAAATTGATAAAAAGGAATATTGACTGTTGTCGTGAGAAAAGAAATGTATATTGATTGGTTTATGAATGTAGCAACAACAACAAATATTGTTTTGGAACATGATTCATGAATTACAGTGCTTGACAAAAGTATTCCCTCCTTGGACCTCAGTAACAGTATCAGCTGTAGATCTGAGAATTAGTATGTATCTATATCTCAGTAAATGCTGGTCGTCGGCTGTCTCCGTACTCTAATTCTAAGAAGTATAGCGAAGTTATAATGCATGAAAATCTTATCCATTCCAAACTCCATAAATCAGAAACAAAATTATTTCTGGAGCTGCGATTAGTTTCATTTTGGCCATCTATGGTAAAAGTTTCACTGAATTTCAACCAACCATCGAGGAACTGAAATCATTTTACGGTCCGTACTGATATATAGAAAAGACAATTTATTCCATTATACACTGCAATAATGCGTAAGAGGTAATAGAAACTCAGTTGAAATTTATGGAAAATGTTTCCTCAAAGCTCTCCATCATGCTCTAAAGTTTTCATCTAAATATATTTTACTGAGTAATTGTCTAATTCGAGTTCGAAAAAAAATGGAAAAAACGGCACTTCCATGTATTTTCAGCAAAAAAGCAAAAGATAAAATTTCATTTATAAATTTATAAAACTTAGAGGACTCGAATCTTAGAATCGTGAGCGATGAATGGATTTATTTTTATTGAAGGCAGTAAATATCCCAGCAAGTTAATGTGATACATGTTTCTCGTCAGTGGAATAATTAATATTTTTTCTTGTTACTTAATTTGATAACGATAATTCGAAAGGGTGTGATTGAGTTTTCGATTGGGAGTGATGGGTTATGGATTGACTGACCGATGGAAAAGTGTCTGGTTCTCAGTAATTTTGTTTTTCTTCTTGATATTTTTGTAAATGTGCACATGGAGATGCAAAAGTGGGGACGCTTCAAAAAGCGGTTAGCGTCGCACATCGCAAGAAGAAAATGAAAGATGTCTTACGTGAGCAAGAGGTAGTATCTGAAATCGATATTTCAATTTTAAAAGAATCCTGACGGGTAGGACCAATCATAAAATGGTACTCAGCGTGCGATATTAGTCTTCAGCGAGACCCCTTGGAGAACAGTATAAAGGAGAAATGTGATTGTCGAGGGCGGGGATGTACAGAAAGCGATGCATCGGTGACGGCTCTTCGGTCGGCGTTTCGCGTCTACACACGGCGACAGAGATGAAAGATCTCTCGGGTATGCAACAGGTAGTTGCTGAAACCGGTATTTCGATTTCGACAACAATTACGAGATACAGAACCAATCGTAGAACGATCCTTATCGGTGGGTGTTAGTCTTCAGCAAGATTCGGTGAAGCACAGTATAAAGGAGAAATGGGAGTGTTGAGAATGACGGTGCACACAAAAAGATGCGCCAGTAGGGTGTGGGTGTGGATGTGGGTCTAAATTTTCTCCTCAGTCATACCCACACCCACTCACAATATTCATCAAAGCTTTTCGCAATTGGCGTCCCTAGATCAGTGCCCTTGAAATTTATAAATTTATCAATGAAATTTAATCTTTTGGCTTTTTGCTTAAAATACATGGAAGTGCCGTTTTTCTGTACTCAAAAAATGAGTACACTCTAGAATCGGTCAGTGTGTCCGGCTGTCCGTCCGGCCGTTTACACGATAACCTTTGAAAGGAGAGTCAGATCATCATGAAATTTTCTACATAGTTTAGTCTTTACAATATCTCGGTCGAGTTCGAAGATGAGAAGGATGGGCCAAGCCGTTTCTGAGTTATTGCAAAAATACTCATTTTTCCCTATGGTTTCCTATGGGAAAATCGACTCATCGTCACTTTCGTAAGACTATTCCTAACATAGTGAAGTAAAACCTCAACTATTATATACCATTCGATAGAGAATTTCAAGAGCTACAAAATTGTATGTACAACATCAAGAAACAAGAAGACTAACTCACCTATTGGCAAGATAAATAAGCGGGAATCGGTTCGGTTTTGTGCACACTCCAATCGATCCTCAATTAGAACTCTATCTTCCGATCATAGAAGTGATAATCGAAGGTTTTCTAGTATGGAGAACTCGAATCTGTACTCCACTTGCCTTAAAGGCCGATTGGTTGAGCATTGACCAATAGAGATCAAGTTATAGGAAAAACAACTCTCTGAGATTAAGTTAAGCCGAAGAGTTCAAATTCGAGCTGTATATGCTCCCAAGCCCTATTGGTTGAGCAGTAGACAATGGAATTCAAGGGTTTATAGAAAAGGTTTGCCAGGCAAATTTTTATACCCAGATATTCTAGGATGACCGATTTGTCTCATTCACTTTTTGAAGTACACATAACTCTCAGATTTAAATCCGAAGTTTCTGCATTTATTTACATTTATTTTCGAACTCGAATTAGAGATTTACTCGGTAAAATATATTTAGATGAAAATTTTAGAGCATAATGGAGAGTTCTGAGGAAACATTTTCCATAAATTTCAACTGAGTTTCTATTACCTCTTAAGCATTTTTGGAGTGTATAATGGAATAAATTGTCTTTTCTATATATCAGTACTGACGGTAAAATGATTTCAGTTCCTCGATGGTTGGTTGAAATCCAGTGAAATTTTTACCATAGATGGCCCAAATGGAAAGCTACAAAATGAAACTAATCGCAGCTCTAGAAATAATTTTGTTTCTGATTTATGGAGTTTGGAATGGATAAGATTTTCATGCATTATAACTTCGCTATACTTCTTAGAATTAGAGTGCGGAGACAGCCGACGACAAGTATTTACTGAGATATAGATACATACTAATTCTCAGACTACAGCTGATACTGTTACTGAGGTCCGAGGAGGGAACACTTTTCTCAAGTACTGTAGTTGTAAAGAAAAAAGTATTTAATGTATAAGAGTTCAAAGGACTGGTTTCTTTGTGCGGAATTTATATTGTACATTATATGATTGACAGAAGAAAAAAACTGAACTAAAATAATTACATATGTCTTCAGACTATGTGAAGATTTTATGAAATAAACTCTTTGAACATATTACATAGTCCACTTATTAGTAATTTAGTCATTTTTTTGATTACTTACTTGATACCAAAAAAAAAATACCTCCTGAGTCGCACTTGAAGAGTACGATATCCATTGAGCTACTGTGACAAGTTTTCAACGTCCTCTATTTTCTAATTTCATCGCATGTGATGAACAACGTACTAATAAATTCATGATTTAGTCTTCGAAAGGAAAGACAATAAACTAATAAATCCAAATATGTATGTTTAAACCTGTTTTTAGAAAATCTCGAACTCAGACATCAGAGAAGGAATTATTTACAGTTTCAAAATAGATAAACTATAATGCAAAAACAAACAATATGTAATGAAGAGGAAATCAGAACTTACTCTATAGATACTAAGCTGATTTATTAATAGCATTAAAATGTTGTCAATGCCGCATTCGAAAAAAATCTTTCTTCACAGTTTATTCTCGTACGTATTGAAATTCTCTTAATATATATACCATGTATTGATGTTCTTCTTAATTAAACACATAAAAACCAGTGATCGCTCGATGTGCAGTGAAAAATATGATGAGTTTTTTCTCTTAAAGGCTTCCAAACTTGCATAGAAGCCGAACATACTTACTTTTTCAAACATGCAAAGCAAAGCTTTTTTTCTTTTTCTTTATTAAATTACTTTTCTCTTTAAATTTGTATTCAATATGAAGTTAGTAACAAAAAAATAGCAGCAACTGAATTTAAGTTTGTCAATCCTTCTGCTTATAGAGTACGCAAATCAAATTCTGCCGGAAAAAAATTTACCTTTAGAAAAATGTTTATAACTGACCGATTCAGTGTCATACAGAAGTATTTTTTTTCTTTCCGGAATAGGGCAAATATTTCTTTATTGGTTGGTATATAAATAACTAGAAAATCATTAGCAAGCGCTGTGTAGTAAGATTGACAATGACGCAGGGGTCAATTTTAGCCGAAAATTCTTATGTTCTTTATTCTGCCGGCCAATGTATTTTGTCTTCCCAATTCTGCCATTTACATGTAAAATTCCAATCGATTCCAGAAAAAGCTGAATTTTTTTTATAAAAATGACCTTCAATCCGGATTAAAAAAAACACATCATTCGATTAGCCGCACTGTGGTGCATTGAATTATATTGTTTTCAAAAATAAACGGATTCATCTACCTCGCCATTTTCCACTCACAAAACTAAAATGCGGGTGTGGGTGTGGGTGTGTGGGTGTGGGTGGTTGTGAGTGTGGATGTGGGTGTGGGTGTGGGTGAGGTGGGTGTGCGGTGTGGGTGTGGTTGTGGGTGTGTATGTGGGTGTGTGGGTGTGGGGAGTGGATGTGGATCTGGACTACAAAAATTAAGAACACAGACCCTTAGCCAGTCACCGTGACACCCACATCCACACCCACATCCCCTACTCACACCCACACCCACACCCACACCCACATCCCACACCCACACCCACATTCCATACCCACACCCACATCCCACACCCACACCCACATTCCATACCCACACCCACATCCCACACCCACACCCTTAGATTCATAAGTTTCGAATAATTTTCAATGATTTCTGAGACTTCAATCACAAATTAAAATTTTTTAAGGACAATCACTTTCTCTACAGGTGTTGCTCATATTTGTGGAACGCTCTTCGCTAGAAATAATACTTTCATCGCCTTCTCCCTCTTCCCCGCAAAAATAAAACAAATATTCTACACGCTCCGATAATGAGAGTGGGAAAATAATCCAAAATGAATCAACCTTGTGCTGTAACGTCAATAAACTTGAAATAACAGTCTAATAATAAAATTAAACAAAACCTTAACATGTCTTGCCATACTCTCTTTTTCTACCGCCACCAGAGCAACCGAAAAGCATCAACGGGCCTGCTTTTTTTCTCGAAACACCGTCAAATCCAAAATTAATGTTGATTTAGCACCTTACAAATCTAAATATTCAGAATCCTTCAAAATGAACGGGCTCCTTTGAAAATAATGTGGGAGAGGAAAAAAAGAAAGAAAGTTCTGTACAAACGTATGTTATTCAGCATCAAGAAAAAAACTAATCATGCGATTTGAAACAGTTTTGATTTTCATTATTGTCTTATCATGTCTACAAGGTTAACTGATTTATTTTTTTAATTTTTTTTATTAATGCCTGATATACACAATTTTTAGTTCAAGTAACAAAACAAGATGAATACTACTGTACTGAAGATGATTACATTATTAGAATGTTAGATTCTTCTTCGCCTCACTCTGCATCACAACCAGACACAAACTGTACTTTACAACGATGTGATGTGAATTGGAATAATAGTAATCTTTGTCGTGCAGAATCAATAGCTTGTTTTGATTATGTTACACAAAACAACACTCATTACTGTGCACCTGGTGTATTATGTTCTGTGCTGGAACCATGTAACGGCTTTACTTGTGCATCAAATACTGCTGTATGTGTAGTTAACACATGCTGTTCACCACAAGCAGTATGCTTACCAGTATCATTAATGAATTTTTGTAGTCCAGGTAAATACAAAGAGACTAACACGATACTATATGTTGACTATATTAGTATAAAAAGAGCCGACCACGACATACAGTTTAAAGGATCTTAACATTTAACATATCATTAGAAATCAACGCTGTAAAATTAATATCAGAGATGGAACCAGTACCGGTTACTGACCGGTCCGGTCCGGTTCTGTACCGGTAAGGATTTCAGACCGGCCGGTCTATCTTTTTCCCCTGTTTTATTGCATAAACTAGCTCAGAACTACGGAATCTTAATGCTATCCTGTGCAGAATTCGTATAAAAATTTCGGTGACAGTAGATTTCATGAACTATCACTACGCAAAAGATAGATTTTGTTTTGATGAAAACTGTGTATCGATCGGTCGATTACCGGTAGACCGGCAGGTCCAGTCTGGTCTGACCGGTTTGAACTGGTACCGGTCGTCAAAAATCTAGACCGACTGCACCTCTGATTAATATTATGATTATTCATATAATATTCTTTGATACTTTTCATTTCAACTACTTTATTCCTCTGAAGTTCAATCGAGTGAAATGAGTGACATTTCCAACACTCAAAAATGACACGTCATGATACAGAATCGATGAACTTCATTAAAGGACGGTTAACCATTATGTAGAGACATAACATGTCGGAAGGTGTTAATATTTATCTTCTTTTGCTCCAAACACGTATTTCCCAGATAGTTTTTTTTAGTCCCACCCGCATGTGGCAACCAAGTTTTATAAGCAGGCCAGTTAAAAGAATTTGTATGCTTGATGTTGGGAAGCTCAAAAAGTTATTTATCATAGTTGGTTCTTTTTAATTATTTCAGCCACTTTTTAAAGTCTCCTAGTTGGTGAAAAGAAGGTAAATAAATGAAGAACAGTATAACATTTTTCTAACGCTAACACGTCTCAGCTCTAAATCCAGTGAAGACATATTTTCCGTCAAAATATCTTTAGAATCTTTGCTGTATCTGTTCAAAGTTCGCCTAGGAATCCGTTTGAAGTTGGCAGTTTCATGTTCATCAAATTCCCTATGGTTTGTTATCTTTTTAGTAACTATATGGGTTCTATATGGTGAACATCAAGAGAAACTTGAAAAGTCATGATTGAAATTTATCATGGGTCTTCGCTGGAAAGAAAAAAAAATTTCAAAATCCAGTCGTAAAATTCTTTGCAGAATTATCTGACAAGTCGACTTACGTAAAGAAACCGGTCGCAGCAAGTAAGAAGAGGCCTGTGAAAAGTTTGAAACAACACTCGTTGAGGGTTTCTCGAGATTTTCTTGTAAAAATACTAGCTGGGCAACGGGTGTTCAGCAAAGTCGTTGATAACATATTCTGATTCATCATTTTACACTATGTTTGCACCGGTTCCGGTTTTAGAACCGAAATCGATGGAACCGGTTGGAGCCGGAACCGATAAAAACCGGAACCGTGCATTCCTGTTTTATGCTGAGCAAGAATATGTTCTTTTGAAGTCGATTTGATCATATTTTTGGTCCCGAAAACGGGACTTCACGAAAAGTCGTTGAAAAAAGTTTATCAGAAGCCGAAAGTTATTTGGCATTTTGCGTCCAAAGAAGGGTGTAGAAAAATTAAAAATCAGATATTCATGATTATTATCATCTGCTCTATTGATTACTGCACTCTAAAAAAAAAACAAGGTTTTTTACCGAACCCCCGAAAAAGGCTCCGTAGATTTGAAAAAGCTTGCAAATGCATTCAAATGCTCAAAAAACGATTTTTCAGTTCTACGAAACCTTTAAAGGTTCTTCCCCTGGGCACACGGGAAGAACCTTTTTCCTGCGAAACCTTTTTTAAGTTCCGTACAGTAACAAAAGGTTTTCTAAAACAAAATACGAAACCTTGAAAGTTTCGTATTAATTTATACTGGTTCAGTGCGAAACCATTAGTGTTTAGTAAAAAGCCGCTTGAATTTAATACGAAACCTTAAAGGTTTCGTATTTTGTTTTAGAAAACCTTTTTTTACTGTACGGAACTTAAAAAAGGTTTCGCAGGAAAAAGGTTCTTCCCATGTGCCCAGGGAAGAACCTTTAAAGGTTTCGTAGAACTGAAAAATCGTTTTTTGAGCATTTGAATGCATTTGCAAGCTTTTTCAAATCTACGGAACCTTTTTCGGGGGTTCGGTAAAAATCTTTTTTTTTAGAGTGTGCATTACAAATTTTAAAACAAATTTTCCTTCATTTTTACGTCAGTTGCACCTTACTTACCAAATGNAAAACTTAGAGGACTCGAATCTTAGAATCGTGAGCGATGAATGGATTTATTTTTATTGAAGGCAGTAAATATCCCAGCAAGTTAATGTGATACATGTTTCTCGTCAGTGGAATAATTAATATTTTTTCTTGTTACTTAATTTGATAACGATAATTCGAAAGGGTGTGATTGAGTTTTCGATTGGGAGTGATGGGTTATGGATTGACTGATCGATGGAAAAGTGTCTGGTTCTCAGTAATTTTGTTTTTCTTCTTGATATTTTTGTAAATGTGCACATGAAGATGCAAAAATGAAGACGGTTTAAAAAGCGGTTAGCGTCGCACATCGCAAGAAGAAAATGAAAGATGTCTTATGTGCGCAAGAGGTAGTGTCTAGAATCGATATTTCAATTTTAAAAGAATCCTGACGGGTAGGACCAATCATAAACTGGTGCTCAGCGTGCGATATTAGTCTTCAGCGAGACCCCTTGGAGAACAGTATAAAGGAGAGATGTGATTGTCCAGGGCGGGGATGTACAGAAAGCGATGCATCAGTGACGGCTCTTCGGTCGGCGTTTCGCGTCTCCACACGGCGACAGAGATGAAAGATCTCTCGGGTAAGCAACAGGTAGTTGCTGAAACCGCTATTTCGATTTCGACAACAGTTACGAGATACAGAACCAATCGTAGAACGATCCTTATCGGTGGGTGTTAGTCTTCAGCGAGATTCGGTGAAGCACAGTATAAAGGAGAAATAGGAGTGTTGAGAATGACGGTGCACGCAAAAAGATGCGCCAGTAGGGTGTGGGTGTGAATGTGGGTCTAAATTTTCTCCTCAGTCATACCCACACCCACTCACAATATTCATCAAACCTTTTCGCAATTGGCGTCCCTAGATCAGTGCCCTTGAAATTTATAAATTTATAAATGAAATTTACTCTTTTGCCTTTTTCTTTAAAATACATGGAAGTGCCGTTTTTGTGTACTCAAAAAATGAGTACACTCTAGAATCGGTCAGTGTGTCCGGCCGTCCGTCCGGCCATTTACACGATAACTTTCGAAAGGAGAGTCAGATCATGATGAAATTTTCTACATAGTTTAGTCTTCACAATATCTCGGTCGAGTTCGAAGATGTGAAGGATGGGCCAAGCCGTTTCTGAGTTATTGCAAAAATACTCATTTTTCCCTATGGCTTCCTATTGGAAAATCGACCCATCGCCACTTTCTTAAGACTTTTCCTAACATAGTGAAGTAAAACCCCAACTATTATATACTATTCGATAGAGAATTTCAAGAGCTACAAAATGGTACATAAAACATCAAGAAACAAGAAGACTAACTCACCTATTGGCAAGATAAATAAGCGGGAATCGGTTCGGTTTTTGTGCACACTCCAATCGATCCTCAATTAGAACTCGATCTTCCGATCATAGAGGTGATAATCGAAGGTTTTCTAGTATGGAGAACTCGAATCTGTACTCCACTTGCCTTAAAGGCCCATTGGTTGAGCATTGACCAATTGAAATCAAGTTATTGGAAAAACAACTTTATGAGACTAAGTTAAGCCGCTGAAGAGTTCAAATTCGAGCTGTATATGCTCCCAAGCCCTATTGGTTAAGCAGTAGCCAATGGAATTCAAGGGTATATAGGAAAGGTTTGCCAGGCAAATTTTTATACCCAGACATTCTAGAATGACCGATTTGTCTGATTCACTTTTTGAAGTACACATAACTCTCGGATTTAAATCCGAAGTTTCTGCATTTATTTCCATTTATTTTCGAACTCGAATTAGACATTTACTCGGTAAAATATATTTAGATGAAAATTTTAGAGCATACTGGAGAGCTCTGAGGAAACATTTTCCAAAAATTTCAACTGAGTTTCTATTACCTCTTACGCATTTTTGCAGTGTATAATGGAATAAATTGTCTTTTCTATATATCAGTACTGACGGTAAAATTATTTCAGTTCCTCGATGGTTGGTTGAAATTCAGTGAAACTTTTACCATAGATGGCCAAAATGAAACTAATCGCAGCTCCAGAAATAATTTTGTTTCTGATTTATGGAGTTTGGAATGGATA